GCTGATTCTATGAAAGTGTATGCCTATGAATGTACATGTGTGTGTGTATATATATATATATATATATATATATATAAATATAAATATGCACATGCACACATAAGTGTATATGTGTATATTGTGAAAACTGCTTTGTTTTCCACTTAATGTAATTTGATTTTTGTGTACAAAATGTAAATCAGAAGTGAATAGAGGATATTTTACTATTATCCTTTGAAGTCATCGATCAAGAGACATTGAATGAAACATTATTTATAGATATCTCTCATGTAATTTTGCTATGTTATTTTGCCCCATTTTTAATTTTTTTTAATCATAAGTTCAGTATGTATTTTATGGAAATAAATGATCTCTAATTGAAATAGAGTTAAATTAAATTATTTATTAATAGCAGTAAATTACATCTATCAATTTAATATGGGCAAAAATAATCATTTATGAAAAAAAAAACATAGTTGGCTGCAATGTTATTTTTGCTGCTTCTCTTCTAAGAATTGATTTTGTTTCATATTTGCCATGATCTCTAGGTATCTTCTTATGTAAAGATCACCCATGTTCTAATTCTTTTTAGGTTTCTTACATAATATATCCCAAGTGACAACTATCTACAATTACTTGACCATAATTGCTGTTATATACATTTTTTTATACCATATGAATCTATGTACCAAGATTATACTTTTTAGACCGATTCCAGGCAGAAGTCAAAAATAAGACAGGACAGAATATTTTGCCGTGACTTACGACAGTCTCTTTCATCTTCCTCATCACCACAGTCATCTTGCCCATTACATCTGAGGTTTACTGGAATGCATTTCTGGTTCTTAGTACACTTGAACTGACCTGACAAGCAGACATGAGTGTCTGAAAGGATAGAATAAAAAATCTGAACTGAAACCTCTGTCTGAATTTAAATTGGTGCTGACATAATCAGTTAGGAATTAGATTTATATTTCTCAGTTAAGAATTTAATCACCTACCACAGTTGAGTTCGTCAGAATTGTCCCCACAATCATTCTCTCCATCACAGATGAAAGCAGGCAGAGCACAGAGTCCAGTTCCACACTGAAATCGGCCTGGCTGACATTTAAATTCAGCTGGGGGAGAAAAAGGTATCATGGAATGGCAAACTTAGATCATGACTTCTTAAACATAGATTTTCTGACATACTAAATATTTATTATATTATTATGTTCAATATGTCATAGAGCACAATGTGAATATCTCATATCTATATAGATAGATATTAGATTTGTACGTACAAATAAGCTGAATAAGGTAGCCTATAGATCATATTAAGACAGGATGAATTGTTAACAACATATGTCTCCTAATTTCATTGAAGTAAATTGAGGTTAAATGGCAGAATATAATTTATTGTAATTTTTTAAAAAGGTATTCCAATGTCTTTTTTTAAAAGTCTTATCTTCCTGACCACTTTGCTGCCTACTACATGAGAGAAGAGTACATGTGCTATCAATACATATTCCCTAGCACTGCTTAAAGTAAATATTTCCTATAAGAAATTAGATTCTTTAATTTTCACTTGTTTAATCCTATTGTTACAGATAAGGAACATATCTTGTAAAGTAAATCAATATTTCATATATTATACAAATGTTATTATAATCAACAGCTCCCAGATGATAACACATTTTCTTTCACAACATTCTTTCTGCTTACATAAGGAATAATAAAAAAAGTAAAATTCACTGAGCATCTATTCTGTCTCAGACCCGAGGTGAGGCATTTTCACATGTAGTTACAAAATGATTTCCCATTACAACCTCCAAACCTCCCCCATCACCATGATCAATTTACAAATAAGAAAAATAAATCTCATGAATATTCAATAATGCATGCAAGGATATACACCTCTCAAATGTCAATCCTGGAATTCAAATCCATATTTGATTCAAGTCTTTCTACAAATATATTGCTTGTAATAAACCATTTACCTTTAGACTGATGAGCTCAATGTATGTTGGTAATCACTGACTTTGAGATTAATAATATGCTGTTTATTACTTCAAATCAGTGACTCAAACATAATAAATAACACTTTAAATTTTCTTTGGGAAATAAGTTGTGCTTTGTAAATTATAGTATTAATTAACAGTTTACTTAAAGTCCTTATAAAAATTGATATTGATATATGCTTTACTTCCATAAGCAAGTGAGGTAATAAAATGTTGGAAGTCATTTATTTCCAATACATAACATTTTAAAATTAAACACTAAATGTTTAAATTGTGTGATACTTAATTTCTAGTACTTTAAACACTACATTTCCTCTACTTTCCGTTCCTTCATATACAATTTCCTTTAACTGTTTGTTGTTAACAAAACAATCCTCCCTTTAAGAAGGGGTGCAACTGTTAATGGAAGTTTTAATACCTGGAAGATAACTAGAAAGCCCTTTGACTTTCAAACACATCATTCATGCAGTATTAAACAGTCAAAAGTAAGGTAGTTACAAATTCAAAATACCAGAGAATTCCTGATCAGTCACACTTAACTACATTTACATAAATAACATTATGTAAATATTCAAGTATGTGGCCTTGGGATCAGGGTTTTCTACCTTCTCAGGTGAAGCTATAGGTATTGTGAGTGGCTCTTAGAACCTGAGATTTCAATGCTGCAGCTACACAAAAAAAAGAATTCTGACTCATAGATACTATTTTCTACTGCACCAAGAATCAAAATAAAGGGTCATGCTTTACAGATGTGCAATGCTGTTAACCCATCAACTCCAAGTAAATGATACTAAGTTACAAATAAGCAGAGTAATAATTTGTTTAGCAAAAACTGAATTTTTAATAACTCTCAAGATTTTAATATTGAGAGAAATGTTGAAATATTGTTTCCCTTTAAAGGTAATGTT